AAATTCTGCATTTTTCGGCTATAAACTAATAATTTGAACTTCGGATTTTATACTGGCATAGTCAAAGCGTTTTTTAGTTCTAGAAACTCCGATCGACTTAGAAGTTTATGTATTAAGACCACTAGCATTTGAAATAAGTTAACTTCTAGTAAACTCTTTTACAAAGCATGAAATTCTTCACCATTTGATGTTAATAAAGCTATTTCAAATATTTTTGCACTCATTATAAACAATTAAAAAACAAGAGCAGTTTGCCCTTTAAAACTGCGTGGTGCAGTTAAAAAATGTGGAGCTTTTCTTGATAGAGTTACTGCGCCAAACATCAAAGATGAATATTATAAATAAATATGCACTCTTGTACAGAATTAAAGTGTCTATCGTTTGGTATATGAAAGAATTTTTGTGAACGAAAGGTGAGAGAAAAATGAGCCAAGATTTAGTATAATTTATTCTGGGACACCTGTTGTCAAAAACCAAATAATTATACATATCAATTGATCAATTTTAATCAAATAAATAAATTAGATTTTGTGAAAATCTCAATTATCAGTTAGTCTTTTCGAGTTTATTATTTTCGCTTGTGTTTCAATCGGATTTATGTTCATGTTCATTGAAGCTCCCCCTTCTCCCAGGTCAGAAATCTATCTCGGTAACAACAAGTCTAATCTGAGCGAAAATTTTGGAAAGGTTGGGGCATGCTGAGGAATAGGCTAGGTGGTTCCATCTATCATCGTTTAGGAGATGTCGCTCGAACATTAGTCAAAATGGGCATCTACCGTCCAGCAGGTTTCTCCTCTCAGAAAACAGCTGGAGAGCTCGGACTCGTTTTAGAGTATAAAACGAAGTTAGAGTAACGACGTAAAACAGCCGGATTTTTGAGTTTTCTCTTTGATTTATTGTTGGAAGGAGTTCATCTCAAAAGTTCGAAAGCAACGACTGAAAAAATCTATATTTCTGACCCAAGGGTGTGTGTGGCTAACTCAAATCGTTATAGCTTGGATAAATAGAGACTTTTGCTTAATTAATGAGTACTTACACAAAACTGATAAGAAGTAATGTTTCTGTGCGGTTTAAGGTGACTTCACGGTGAGCAGACTCTTCTATGAAATAATAAATGTTGTACTACCCTTAACGCCCTCACTGGCATTATCATTATAACAAACTGAGGAAACATTGTATGAAAAAATTAATCTAATACCAGTTTTTAGCGAATTAAATTTGCTATCGAACGATAAAAAGACATTTTTTTTTGTGTTTTATACCAGCCAAGGTATTTAAATTTTAAAATAAATAATATTTCGAAAAACTTTAATTTTTTTAGTATTTTATGATAAGCTTTTTATTCAAGAATTTTTCGGAAATATGTAGGGAAGTGTGCTGTTTCAAATCATGTGTCATGTTCAAATTATGCTGTTTCAAGTATGTTAAACTGAAAAAACTATTGTTTCAACTGTAGACTGCAGACGGTACAAAACAAAGTATTTATATACATTCAAGTAATTATTCAAGTATTATTATACATTCAAATGTATTTTACTGGCTCGTTGTCTTGATCATTCTTGATTTACTTCACCATCTGAGCTCATTTTCTGCCTCAACTTCCTCGAACTTAATGATCCAGGCCTAGATATGTTTGGTATTTGGTTTCTAACGAGAATGTTTTGGAAAAAAATAATTTTTTTTCAAATTTTAATTTTAAATTTAAATTATACAAGCTGAACTTTTTTAAAAATGAAAAGCAATTTTGTTTTGAGTGTAAGAAAGTCATATCGTGATCTTATATGTTCTATTTTTATAGCCGGTCGATCCAACACCAAGCGTTAAAGCCTTGGAGACTTAAAGAGCTAACTACTTCGGGCTACTCTATCCAATTCTAAGGCTTTTTCGTGTAGACATCTCTCATTCATGTATAGAAATGATATTATTCATGTATTTCTATTTAGAAACACGTGGATGATTGTCACACCAGATATGAATGTGAATATTGTGATGAAAAGTTTTTATCATTGAACCTTGTGGATGCTCATAAGAAAAATGGTTGTTCAAAAGCATAAGCCATTTGTGTACTCAAGAATTATGGATGTATTGATAAACTATGTTTTGAAATTATTTGTAATATCTGTCAACAATTATCTTTTCTTTTTCTTTGTTTTGTTTTTTGATAGTTTATTCGATCCGAACGTGGTAATCATTTAGAAAGTGAACAACATCAAAAAAGTGTACTTGTAATGCTTGAAAAATTACAACAATTACTAAGTACAGTAAATAATAGTACAGAACCGTTAATAACAGCAATGAATAGTTCAGTTTCTTCTTTTAAAACTATTAGAGAAGAACATATTGAACAAAATTTATCAATGGACTTTGAATCAGGAGATACGGCTCCATCATCTAGTCGTATAAATGATTTACGAGATGAATTTCAAAAATATGATGATATTTTAATCACATTGACGCAAGGTGTTCAAACATTATTCAATGATATAAATCGATTAAGTACAAAATCATTAAGTCTAACGAGTTTAATACAAGCGAAATATGAAGAATCAAATCAATTAAAGAAAATTAGATTAGAGAGTGATAATCGCATTGCTGCTAATGGACCAATTCAAGAATCTCTTGAACAAGAATTATCAAATGTCAAAGAAAATATTGAGAGTATAGAGTTTACAACTCATGATGGTATGAAAACATGGAAAGTGGATAATATTTCAGAAAAAATGGCTGCTGCACAATCAGAAAGACAAAATTCTATTTATTCTCAACCATTCTATTCACCACCGGCAGGATATAAAATGAGAGCACGTCTGTATTTAAACGGTGATGAAAATGCTCGTCGAACACACATGCCACTCTTTTTTGTCTTAATGAAAGGTGAATATGATTCAATATTAAAATGGCCATTTAATCATAAGGTAACATTTTGTTTACTCGATCAATCTGGACAAAATCAACATGAAATAGATTCATTTCGTCCAGATATAAAATCAACTAGTTTTTAACGTCCAACATCAGAAATGAATATTGCATCGGGGATTCCAAATTTTTTTCCATTACCAATGATATATATAATAATAATTATGTTAAAGATGATACAATGTTCATTAAAATAATTGTTGATTTTGCTGATGTACCAAAATCAATTTTACCATTTATATTTAATCTCAATCTTGAGGTTGTGGAGACTGTACTAGTCTAACCAGAACCAATAATCATCGTAATGGTAAAAATACCTATGTCTTTTTCAGTTCCTGGACCATACAAAATGTTTCCTCCAAACCCTTGGCTTTTCCTGCAAAATCAGTTTTTCTGAGCCCAGGACATTTATAAGAAAAACTAAGCTACACTTAGAACCAGCGCACGAAACTGCATCTAACGCTGTACAACTCGACTATATCCTGCGACTCTTTTTCCATGCCAAAGGCGAAAAATCTTTTGTTCTTCCCCTACACTTGAAGGGGGATAAAAGAAGAAAAAAACAATTCGTGCCGCCGTCTATGTCTTTCATTAATATTCAATGCACTAAAAATCCAGCCTACACACCTTATACTTTTTCACAGCTTCTGAAATTGCTTTTGCCGCTTCAGATGATATATTATTCTTCCGCATAAAAAGCGCTGTTAATGTTTGGTTTATTTTCAAGGCTTCTGCAATTGCTTTCGCCCCTGCATCTGATATATTGTTGATCTGCATATCAAGCCCATGAGGGCTTGATATTAAA